CCCCTATTACGTGACAAGTCCCATTTTTAGAGGAATGTTTTGCAGAAAGCTGTAAAGGAAGCGAAGAATTTCTTCCACTGTTGTAGAATATGGTCACTTGCCTGTAGGAATTATGTGGAAAACTCGGTCGCAAGTGAGTGTTCCTTCCGTGGTGTGGCCCCAAACATCACCCCTTGTCATGCCTTTGCCCCCTATTACGTGACAAGTCCCATTTTCAGAGGAGATGTTTTGCAGAAAGCTGTGAAGATAGCGAACAATTTCCTTCACTGTCGTAGACTACGGTCACTTGTCTGTAAGGATTATATGGAAACCTTGGTCGCAGGTGAGCGTTTCTTCCGTGGTGTGACCCCAAACATCACCCCTTGTCATGCCTTTGCCCCCTATTACGTGACAAGTCCCATTTTTAGAGGAATGTTTTGTAGAAAGCTGTAAAGGAAGCGAAGAATTTCCTTCACTGTCGTAGACTATGGTCACTTGTCTGTAGGAATTATGTGGAAAACTCGGTCGCAAGTGAGCGTTCCTTCCGTGGTGTGGCCCCAAACATGCCTCCTCGTCATGCCCTTGTGGAATGTTCAGATTTTTTGCATTTCCAGATGAACTCGCAGACCTGAAATGTGCCCCGTTAGCTTCCCCGTGAAAAATGCTATCGAATGATATGCATTACTTCCCCAGTTGAAACTTTGGTTTTTCACCGTTTTCAGCCTTCCCCTATTGCCGGATCCCACGATTACTGCCCCAAAATCTCAAAGTTTCATTTTTCGTCGAAACTTTGTCTATTGGGGTAATTCGATGCCCTGATTACGAATATGACATTCATTTTTGATGCTGGTGTCATTTGGCGCCATTTGGCGCCGTTTGGCGCCAATTTGGCGCCACGGCTGTTTTCACCAAATCTGCTGAAACTTCGTCATTTGGGGTTATTTGGGCCGAGCGTGCCGCACTGGACCATCGAACGAGACCAGGGTCTACGTTCATGCCCGAAAGGATTCCTTTTTCGAGAACTGTAACTTTCCTGAGTCCACGGTGTTCGCACTGCCCTATTTCTGGCTGCGCGACATGGGCAAGGTGAAGGACAAGGAATACGAGCTCAATGTCGGCCACACCAGTTCAATTCAGTGGGAGCGGTTCTTCCGCGGCGAATGTGTGGGGCACTTCAGGAGGAACCCGCCGATCATCGGAAGGTTCGGGTGCGAGATGGAAATTGACGAAACACTGGTTATCAAACGCAAATACAACCGCCGACGTTGGGTACGCAGGCACAAGTGGCTGTTTGGAGGCATTGAAAGAGGAAGTGGACTCCTTCGGATGGTCCGAAGGAAAGACGTTTCAACTCTACTGCGGCTCATCATGAAGTAGTACATCGAGCACGGTACCATCCTCAGTGGCAGCTGGAGAGCTTACAGTCGAATTGCTGCTCTGCCCAACGCATACAGGCATCTCCAGTGAAAACGTGAAATATGCTTCTGGCTTAGCTCACAGTTTTCCACGGTCTGGCTCCTTCCTGTCATGGAAAAGTCTCCAATTCGATGACCTTCGGTCTGACAGTCGGCGCAATGAGAAAGGTGCTTAAGAGT